TGTTATTTATTTAAATTAAATTTAATTTACTCGGCCTCTAGAGGCTAGTCGTTGGCTTGAAAACGCCAAGTGTCGGTGTAAAACCATTTTGGGTCCAATGTAGTCAACTCGAGACATGTATGGTATAGTAAATTAACGTTTACTTTAATTTGCTTGGGCTCTCGAGGCGAGGGCTTGAAAACGCCAAGTGTCGGTGTAAAACCATTTTGGGTCCAATGTAGTCAACTCGAGACATGTATGGTATAGTAAATCAACTTTTACTTTAAGTTGCTTGGGCTCTCGAGGCGAGGGCTTGAAAACGCCAAGTGTCGGTGTAAAACCATTTTGGGTCCAATGTAGTCAACTCGAGACATGTATGGTATAGTAAATTAACGTTTACTTTAAGTTGCTTGGGCTCTCGAGGCGAGGGCTTGAAAATGACAAGTGTCGGTGTAAAACCACTTTGGAGCCAATATGGTCAATTCGATCTGTTCCTTTCACCCTCTACCACTTTGGAGCCAATATGGTCAACTCGATCTGTTCCTTTCAATCTCGACCACTTTGGAGCCAATATGGTCAACTTGATCTGTTTCTTTCAATCTCGACCACTTTGGAACCAATATGGTCAACTCGATCTGTTCCTTTCAATCTCGTGTAGACCCAATTACCGGTGGAGTGTTTTGTGCGAAAAAAAATATTTTTTTCATACATATTCATCTCACGGTCTCGTATGTGGTCGGAGGTCGTAACTATATAAAGAGATTCCCCTCTAGCCAGACCGGCTCGCACTTATAACGAACTGTCCTCAAAGATTTTTGGCCTCGATATTACTTGCGACAGTTTATCCACCTTCAAATCAAAATTAATAAATTTCTTTAAAAATAATGAATCAATTAATTAAGAAGTATAATATTGGAAGTATAATATAATAGTAACACATGCAACAACAACTACTCTTCCTGGGTCTAATACAAAAGTCTAATCTAAAACTTTTGAAATTGTACCACGTGTTACACGGGATTTAAACATTTGTAATAAAAAATATATATACTCGAGTAAGTTTTTTTATTTTTTTTTACATACGTCTCCATCTCACGATGGTCCACGAGAGACTGGGAAAATTTGATCATCCCCACCATTTTTCGTTATCTAGTATGGGGTCGGAGGTCGTAACTATATAAAGAGATGCAGTCTCGCGCGCGAGCTTCTTTTACTTTAATATTTCACATTGTCCAGAAGTAAAAGAGGAGCAGGGAGATGACGCTGTGAAATATGGGGGGCTGGGCGCCCGCTTGGCCAAAAACGCTTTTGGCGCAGTGTTGGTTCCAAATTGGCTCCACATTTGAATTATTTTCTGATGTTTATTTATTTAAATCAAATTTAAATTTAAATTGAATTTACTCGACCTCTAGAGTCAAATCACTGGCTTGAAAACGCCAAGAGTCGGTGTAAAACCAATTTGGAGCACATGTGGTCAACTCGAGACATGTATATGTCGGCCTTTAAAAAATTAAATTTTATACCCAGCCTCCAACCGAGAGTCGTTGGCTTGAAAACTCCAAGTGTCGGTGTAAAACCAATTTGGCACCAATGTTGTTCACTGGAGCTTGGCGCAAATGTTGTTCACTAGCACACTTGTAACAATCAAAGTTAAATTTACCCAGCCTCCCGAGTCGATTGGCTCGAAACTACCCAGTGAAACCACTTTGGAGCCAATGTTGTTCACTCTAGCACCCTTGTAACAATTACATTTAAATTTACCCAGTCTCCCGAGTCAAATCGGTGGCTCGAAACCGTCAAGTGTCGGTGTAAAACCAATTTGGCTACAACATTGACAACTCATTGGTTAATGACGTCCTTGGAATAGGCGAGAGGTGTACAACTTTGGGGAAGATGAAAAAAGCGAAAAGATTAAATCAAATCATTTATTTCCCTTAAAATGGGTACACATAATATACATTAATTTGTCAAATCATGGTCTCAGAAATACATCACATATGTCACCTACAACTTTCTTAAAAGTGGATTTCTTTTTTCTTGCCGCCACCATCTCATTATGACTGGAACAACTGGTAATCCACTCCAATTTGTTGCGATTTTCTATCAATTCTTCAACTCGCTTTTGTAATTTTTGTTCTTTGCGCTTCTTTTCACCACTTTTGTAGACTGTATATAACAACAATCCCAAAGAAATTGTAGAGGCATCACTCTTACATGGGCTTCTTTTGTTACCGGCGGCGCTCATGTTCGGATTGGTGTTGGTTGGCTGATCGGTGTACTAGATGAGGTTACTGGAGTCAAGAGTAACTTGATATCCTCGGAAAATCAAAGATTATATATACTCTAAATACACAACGTCATTCAACAAGCCCTCGTCCCCCCCCCCCCACCCACACCTTTATAACACACGCATCGACTCATCATCACGTGAGATTATTGGCCATTTCGTCAAATCTAAGCTTCAAATCCATGGTTAACAACTCGTCAACCCTGGCGACATTATAGCGTAATAAAACTCTGCCCGGAATAGAGATTCTCATTGTCCTCACCGGGCTATTGTTTGGCATACCGTTGGCTCGTATAGGGGAATTGGTGTATACACACACGGAGGAATGGTACTACATGTTGTGGTATAATTTAATCGTCCAACCGTGCCCAGTTATTACGCGCCGCGCACTCGAAATATCGAAAATTGTTTCCAACTTCAAGTCTATATTGTATTTGCCGCGGTTTTGTAGCGACGATGGGGTAAAAAGTGCATGTTTGGCCGCCCAAATGGGCCAAATTGTTCAGCATTTTCGTCCCGCGCACGGTTTGGTGGCATGGTATAGGCGCTCGGGAGAATTGAACCATTTAAGGTTGATTATAAAATTGGTAAAAATGCAGGCCCTCTTTGCCGCCTTTAAAAAAATTAGATTGGTTCAGAAACGACAACTAAGAGCTCGCGTAGAAGCGTTAAAGTGGCGCCGCACGTTCAAGAATCTCCCGGCAATGGGCGATATTGACGACAAGTTGTGGAAACTTTCTATGGACATGGCCCTGTTTGCGGGCAATGTAGCCCTGTCGTCGCGCAACGTACAGACTCGCGGTCACAACACGGTAGACATTCAAACCAACTTGGATCGTCTCGAGTCGATAATTTTGCCCACCCAAGACGATCTACTAACCCGAGTACAATCTCGTATAGTTGTATATTCCATCTCGAATCCGGGGTATACTATAAATAAAAAAGCTCTATAGGCTGTTAAACATTTTGGCCAAACAGACGACAATTACGCGAGTATAACGTTCGACTATCAAAACTGAACAGTATCGGCTCCAAATTGTTTTTTTCTTGTCACTTTTACTCCACACCACCATCATCACCACCTTGGTTCCCAAATTGGTTTTACACCGACACTTGCCGTTTTCAAGCCAAGACTCGAATCTAAAGACTGGGTAAAAAAATTAAATTTAATTTACTATGCTATACATTTCAAGTTGACCATATTGGCTCCAAATTGGTTTTACACCGACACTTGTCGTTTTCAAGCCAACGGCTCTCGATCGGAGGCTGGGTAAAGAAAATAATTCTGATTTCTACAATGACGCGTCCTCGCCAGTTGACCACCTGTGCTCCAAATTGGTTTTACACCGACTCTTGGCGTTTTCAAGCCAACGAGTAGACTCTAGAGGCCGAGTAAATTCAATTTAATTTTTACGATATACATTTTGTGCTCCAAATTGGTTTTACACCGGCACTTGGTGTTTTCAAGCCAGTGATTTGACTCTAGAGGCCGAGTAAATTCAATTTAAATTTAAATAAATAACAGAAAATAATTCAAATGTGGAGCCAATTTGGAACCAACACTGCGCCAAAAGCGATTTTTGGGCCAAGCGGGAGCCCAGCCCCCCCATATTTCACAGCGTCAGCTCCCTGCTCCTCTTTTACTTCTGGACAATGTGAAATATTTAAGTAAAAGAAGCTCGCGCGCGAGACTGCATCTCTTTATATAGTTACGACCTCCGACCCCATACTAGATAACGAAAAATGGTGGGGATGATCAAATTTTCCCAGTCTCTCGTGGACCACCGTGAGATGAAGACGTATGAAAAAAATCCAAGTATATTTTTTAGTTTTACACCGACACTTGTCGTTTTCAAGCCAAGACTCTCGGTTAGAGGCTGAAAAAAAATAAAAAATGTATAAATATAATCATTTTAGTGTACAAACGGGTCACCACCAAGTCTATTCGAGAGACTGGGTAAATAGATTTAATTTGCATACATGTTCAAGTCGACCAAATTGGCTCCAAATTGGTTTTACACCGACTCTTGGAGTTTTCAAGCCAGTGATTTGACTCTAGAGGCCGAGTAAATTCAATTTAAATTTAAAAATAAATATCAGAAAATAATTCAAATGTGGAGCACATTTGGAACACAAGTGCTCAACAAAACGCATTTTTTGGCCAAGCGGGGACCAGCCCCCCCCATATTTCACAGCGTCATCTCCCTGCTCCTCTTTTACTTCTGGACAATGTGAAATGTTTAAGTAAAAGAAGCTCGCGCGCGAGACTGTATCTCTTTATATAGTTACGACCTCCGACCCCATACTAGATAACGAAAAATGATGGAGATGATCAAATTTTCCCAGTCTCTCGTGGACCACCGTGAGATGAAGATGTATGAGAAAAAAAGAATACTCGCGCTACAACAGTCTCCAAAACGTAGAGTATATAAATCCATGTGGGTACTATACGCAACTATGAGCGCCAATTGTCACGCCGATGCAAAGGTTTAGGCGAGCGTAGTAGTGTTTTCTCGCCGCAGGCAATGTCGTGCAAATTAATGATCGCCCGACTTGTTAAACGTTATTGGTACTACCGTTGTAGGGTCTCGAATTGATACCCTTTGGGGTTATCATCGGTAACATGTGATAATTAAACATTATGGGTTATGGTTTATATAGCAATACACACGGCCGATCGATTCATTGCACGCTGTCCACGTTTTCGTAACGCACGCATATAAAATAATTTAAAATGTCTCTCTTCCATAGAAAATGTACTATTGGCGGTGTAAATGCAGATGTTTGGATAGCCAAACAAGCAGAGGACAATACTTTTTTATACTGTGCCCAGTCTATTATACACTTGTTGGGTTACACTAAACCACGCAACGCGTTACAACACATTAAACCGCATTGGAGAAAGAATTGGGGTGAAATCAAGGCAAGTTTGGAACCGGGCTGTCTGGGAACCATCGCTACAACAACGCCCCCAACCTACCCCGATTCCAAATCACCGGCGCGGTGGCAACCAAATACCGTGTTTATCCGAGAGGCGGGTGTACATACCTTGATAACGAAATCTAAATTGAATGCGGCCAAAGAGTTTAAACTGTGGTTATTTGACAGTGTGTTGCCCGAATTGCGACAAACCGACGGTCAAGATGGTCGCGGTAACGTTGAAGCGGTGGCCCTACCGCGACGAACGGTAGCGGCAGCCGCAAACGGCTCCACCACCATCGGCTGTTATGACAAAACACTTACGGATGTTCAACTGGAATTATTGCGATTAAAGTTGGAATTGTTGGAGGTAAACTCTAAGCTGGCCAAATACGACATTACAATAGCCGAATTGAAACGCAACTACGAGCGCCAATTGTCTGAATTTAAAGAAGGCGCCTATCGAATGCAGTTAATACTAAAGGATCTGGAGACGCCCTTCAACATCACCAGCTCGACTCGGGTCGTCGCCGCCGCTACCACCACCACGCAAACTTTCAAAGAAGACTACGTCACGGGGTACATGGTTCGCGGTGAGCGTCGAAGCCGTTACCGCCATCACCATCAGCGCAGCCACCACGAGGAAATGAAGACTGTATAATATACCAGCGATGCAACAGGCACTCTACTTTACAAAAGCTGGCCCAATTTAAAGTTTTAGGGTATATATTTATGTGTGTGTGTATGTTGAGATTTTAAAATTCCCACCATTATTTTATTTTTAATATTATAATAAATTGTAAAACGTGCATTTTGTATTATTTACAAAAAACTAGACTGAACCGATTGCGTTGATCAATGTTCCTATGATAACATTACCCCTCTAGTAGTACCACACAACCTTTGACTATATTATTATCGACAACTTGGTTAGCGTCTGGTCAACACCACATGTGCCCCAAATTGGTTTTACACCGACTCTTGGCGCTTTCAAGCCAACGAGTAGACTCGGGGTTCAAGCAAATTAAAATAATTTTTGCGGTTGACAACATGTGCTCCAAATTGGTTTTACACCGACTCTGGGTGTTTTCAAACCAACGAGTAGACTCGAGCCGGGCTAGATATAAATGTGCATCTTGCAATGACGCACCCTCACCAGTTGACTATATTGGTTCCAAATTGGTTTTACACCGACACTTGTCGTTTTCAAGCCAACGGCTCTCGGTTGGAGGCTGGGTAAATTCAATTTAATTTTTACGATATACATTTTGTGCTCCAAATTGGTTTTACACCGGCACTTGGTGTTTTCAAGCCAGTGATTTGACTCTAGAGGCCGAGTAAATTCAATTTAAATTTAAATAAATAACAGAAAATAATTCAAATGTGGAGCCAATTTGGAACCAACACTGCGCCAAAAGCGATTTTTGGGCCAAGCGGGAGCCCAGCCCCCCCATATTTCACAGCGTCAGCTCCCTGCTCCTCTTTTACTTCTGGACAATGTGAAATATTTAAGTAAAAGAAGCTCGCGCGCGAGACTGCATCTCTTTATATAGTTACGACCCCCGACCCCATACTAGATAACGAAAAATGGTGGAGATGATCAAATTTTCCCAGTCTCTCGTGGACCACCGTGAGATGAAGACGTATGAGAAAAAAAGAATAAAAAATAAAATTTTAAAACATGCCAATTATATACAAATTTATATTTACTAAACATGACAATCGACACTTGTTAATACACAAGGTATAGCAATTAGCAATGAACATTAATCACTTTGTCGACAATATGAACATTAATCAACGGCCTTATTCGGTACAATATAATAATCCGTATTAATTAAGTGACCACCTTGTTTATTCTGTATGATATGAAACACTGATAACTAGTTGCCATATATTATGCGATTGAGACCTACACTTGCCGAACCTAAATATACATACGCCGCATGGTATTCGCTATACACTATGATTCGACTGGAATTTATTCGTTTTCAATTTTTACTTTCTTCTAGTCGGTGTGATTCAAACATTTACAGCGACCGGCTAAATATTTTTTACATGGCACCACCTTGTTTCCAAACGGTTATCGTTTGCGCTACTAATTGTTTTACAAATTATAGTAGGTACCTACCTATTGTTTATCTTTCAATATATCTTTTTACTATGTATATAATTGCCCGGGTTTCGAGTTGTAAAAATGCTCGAGATGATTTACATAAACATAATGTGAGTGAAACCACAATGGCCAACCACATTGAGGCTGTCGCGAAACACGATTCCCGTATACCGGCTGCTGCGAACGCCAATTTTTGATGACAATTGTGGTGTGTTGTATTGCTCCATCAGAAACCGCGACAGCTCGTCGCCCTTTCCTCCGTCACGCTAGACCATAACGAAAACACGTGGTGTGCGTTACACCGACTCTTGGCGCTTTAGGCGGATACGTTTTCGAATCGAACACACTGGCGCCAAATTGGTTTTACACCGACACTTGGCGTTTTCCGGCCACCGGCTCTTGGTTAGAGCCGAAGCAAATTAAATTTATAAATTTTCAGAGTCGACCACATGTGCTCTAAATTGGTTTTACACCGACTCTTGGTGTTTTCAAGCCAACGTCTCGACTTGCGAGACCAAGCCTATTGAAATTTATAAATTAAATTGGTTTTACACCGCGACACTTGGAATTTTCAAGCCGGGGATTTGACTAGAGAGGCCGAGTAAATTCAATTTAAATTTAAAAATAAATATCAGAAAATAATTCAAATGTGGAGCACATTTGGAACACAAGTGCTCAACAAAAGCGATTTTTGGGCCGAGCGGGGACCAGCCCCCCCATATTTCACAGCGTCATCTCCCTGCTCCTCTTTTACTTCTGGACAATGTGAAATATTTAAGTAAAAGAAGCTCGCGCGCGAGACTGCATCTCTTTATATAGTTACGACCTCCGACCCCATACTAGATAACGAAAAATGGTGGGGCTGATCAAATTTTCCCAGTCTCTCGTGGACCACCGTGAGATGAAGACGTATGAGAAAAAAATATCCCTCTTTTAAAAAAAATAAGAGGTCAACATGAAATGCATTTTTGTAGTGACGGCTTTATGTTTTGTTGTGCACGGCAATAATGCCAACACCACGCAGCGCCCGATTGATACGGATGGCTTGTTTGAGGTGCCGTCTTCCATCGCACCCGATGTAGCTCTAGACTTGGGCATAAAAATAAACGCTACCACCATTACTACCAAGACGGCGCCTGTTGCGACAGTAACAACCTCTACGAGTAAAGAAACCTCCATTTCTAATGATGCCACTCAAACGCCAATAACCACCACTACTACGACCCATTCCCCGGTCGACCGAAACGACGATCCCAATGCGTCCGATATAGACATTATTTCAGATTTTGGAGAAATACAAGTTTCAAACATTAACGAAACCCTCTCGATAGTGGTACTCAAGGGCTTGCTCGAATTGATTCAACAAACGTATCGACAACGAAGCGCCGGGTTCATCACCATTTCTGTAATTTCGGCCATGGGTGTTGTTATTATAGTTTTATTGAGTATTTTGGGATGTGTGCGTAGCTCTAGGCGCAAAGTGATTAATAAAAAGGTCAAGTATTCCACAGTGCCGTTGAATGTATTGTAAATTATTAGTACAATTTTGTACACTTTTTAAATGGGGTGTGGGGATGGAGTGAAAAGTATATAAACGGTAAATAAAAAAATCAATTTATTGTAATATTTTTTTAGTCTATACAATTTATGAAACTTTAAAGGCCAAATTGTCAATAAACGGTAATATTAAATTAATTTCCCCGATCAACACCTCCAACTGTGCGCATTCCAAGTCGACCAATTGTTGCAATGCTTCGCAGTCGCCGGTGGGGTGCCAATTTGTCGTGGTACTTTGCAATTCCTCCATGAGATGTATAATTTTACAGTGTATTTTATACTTCAATTCGGCCCCTATATAATTTCGATAAATTTTCGAGACTTGTGCTTGCAGAGATTCGGGAACACCATCGTAGGGCGGCGACGGCGCCTCAAACTCGTTTCTTCCGGCGTCGTATGGCAATTGGAATCGTTCCACAATACCCCGCGTGGTGCGTTCGGCAATGTTGTCGTACAGAGATTTCAACAAGAGCCGACTAGTGGTGACATCAAACAGTTTGGCTTGGGGTATGATGGGTATTACACTTTCCATACTTAAACACTAACATTTATAGTGTACTGGTTCCACTTTTGTTTTGAATAAAAGTCGACACTTTTGATAAATGTTAGAAACTGGGGATAATTGGTTTCGGCATACGAGTCTAGTTGATATTTAGTCATTAGATAGTAGTAATCGCGCAACGAGATTTGTATTAGGGTGCGTCGTTCTTCAAATTTGTTCTCGCCGATTCTTTGCAAAGTTATAACTCGATCGGGGGCCTCTTGGTTTATGTAATCGTAGTGTCGCTTGCGTCCAACTTTAAATACGTTTCCGCGAACCAGACCGATGAAAATTCTATATTTATAGTAGCGCGGTCCGTCTCTCCACCACAAGTCAAAGGGTTTATCGTAAATGTATAAAATGTTTGGCGATAGATTGGTCTCTTCGACAAACTCTCGCACTGCGGTAACTAGGGCCCCACCGTCTGCGGGTTGTTTGTTTCCGCGCGGTATCGACAAACTTTCCACATTTAAACCGCATCTATACAAATTGGCGCCACCACCTCCGGCACGGTCGTCACCGCTATCCACTTTTTTATAGCCACGTTTTGAAAATAAAATAAATATACGCTTGTTCCAAAAATCCATATCGGGCGAGGTGGTGATGAGAAAGAGGCCCGCGGCTCCGCGGTATTCATTCGTTTTTGCCATTACAGTGCCGCCGCTATGACTACCGTTCTCTACGTGCCCCATTAATGTATTGTGTGAAAAGTAAAAGTCCTAGGAGCTTATATAACTGACAATTTGATCAGCCTCGCAACACCGCGACATGCCCACATACATCTCGGCGCCGGAGCAGCCCGAAAAGTTTACATACATTTTTTTATTGGCAATAGTGGCCCCTTGCGACTGGTAAATGTTTGAAAAACACGCCATCGTCAACGGAAACCCGTACACTGTTCGCATCGTATTGTTTCTGAGCGCCGCGACCATTTCGTCGGGATAATTGGACATGTAGTTTTTGGGATGCGAGGAGAACACGGGATAGTCAAATTCACATGTGCGAATCTGGAAAAAGACATTGTACTCGTCCACTACTATGAGAAACTTGCACCTTTGGTCGGACGTTTGTTCCACGTGCACAAGGGTAACGCGCGCGCCACGCTTCAAAATGGCCGTACTTTCCATGAAAAAATATTCCTGTCCCACAATCAGCGGCAACCACTGCACCCGGTCCGTTTTCATTTCGCCGAAAAACGGTCTGCGTTCATTTTCAAATTGCAACAAGGTGTACAGTTTGGCAAACACCACCGGCGCCCCCGTCAACTCGTGCAGGGCCAAGCTATACGACAACGCGCCAATGTGCACGTTCAGATTGGTCAAGTGGTAGCACACAAACGAGTTTATTCGCGGCGAAAACTCAGCGATCCAGTCGATACATTGGGCCGCGTTCTCTATGCAAAAGTCGCTCATGCTGGGTTCTTGGAGGTTTTTAGATATAATCAAAT